GAGAGAGAGAGAGAGAGAGAGAGAGAGAGAGAGAGAGAGAGAGAGAGAGAGAGAGAGAGAGAGTTACGGATGTCAGACGCAGGGTTGCGCCCGACTGCCATGGTAATGATGGCAGTCTGGTGCAGCCTGGCGCGTTACGGTAGGAGCCCTCTCTCTTTCTCCTCCTCCCTCCCTACTGCACAAGTATAACTGTACGTCACGCTTGTTTTTATTAAATAACCACTATCTTTAATAGATCGACTGCGGGTTTCAAAGGCCGGTAACGCGATAACAGCAGCCAATGAGACTTATCAACGGCGGCCGCCTTTGGGCCCACCCACCGAAGAATGCAGGATAGGTTATATTCCCACTTGGGACACCAGCCTTCTCGGTAGTGGCAGTTTAAGAAAAGTCAGAAAAAATATTTTTTTTTGTGTTTTGGCCGATGCGTCTGGCTGCCATTTTTAGGCACCCACTGGACCCGAGTGAGACTGGTCCATCAACAGTTGGGTTTTTATGGCACGCGTGGGCCAAAAGTACGGCTCCAAATGAGGCACAAGGGTAGCTCCGTGTATACTGCACCGATATATGATGTGACAAAGGTGATGCACTCTTCCTTTTAAGTTGTGCTCAGTAGCTTCATGTCGGTGGTCTGCGGATCTCTCGAGTGGGTAGGGATACTCTTCTGCACTTAGACTGTGGGAGTAAGGAACACGATGGCAGTTGGAAAGCAAGACGATCAGAGGTGTGGGGGAGATAAAAAAAAGTAGTAATGGTGGGATATGTGGAGAAGAAAGATAGGGATAGGAAAGCGTGGGAAGTGACGAGTTGTTGTGCTATGAAGGCGGTGATGGAGACTCGACCTCCCTCACTGATAATGGGTGATGCCCTCCTGAAGAGACTTGCCTACGCACAAGTCAAAAGGCGTTGAGGGTGAAACGGTTTTCACCTTCCCAGAAGCGGATGCAGATCCCAGGGCTCGATCCCTAGACCTCGCTCCCCTGTGTACAGTACCCCTGTGTGTTTGAACCCGTAACCTGTGTCTTAGGAGTCAGTTGTTGTCTGTCGTGGGCCAGTGTGTCCGTCGGGTCTTGAACTGTAGGTCTGTCGCGTAGGGGTCTAGTTTGTAGCAGAGGCCGTAGCTGTTGTGAAAGGTCAAGGTCGTAGCTGCTACAGTCCTGAAAGGTCAAGGTCGTTGCTGCTACAGTGCCGAAGGGTCAAGTCCCCAGACTTCTGGAAGGTCCGGAAGTGGCCCTTCAACATTGCTAACAGCAGACTAGAGGCAACTGGGCAAGTGGTGAAGTCCACCCTTGCTGAGTCAGCGGTACCCAGTCCCAGTCTCACTTAGTCCAGTCAGCAAGTACCATATGAGACTGTGTGCACTACTAGGGGCCCGGTGGAAAAAGGGCAGACCAGCAGCGAACAGAAGTATAAATTAAGAGGCAGCGTCCAGCCATTCATTCATTGCTGCGTAAGCCATGCGGAAGCGCTGCCACAACAACTTGTGCGAGGTGGTCTGCAGTCGCCCGAAGTGGAAGTGGACCGTGAGGAGGACAGTGTGCCATAGTTGGTATTAGCCGGCTGCCACGGCGGCCATAGCTAGTGTTAGTAGTAGTGTGAGTGTGTATGCGTGTGGGATATCCAGGGTGATCCAGAGTGAGTGAGTGTGAACAGTGGTGTTGAACAGAGAGACGAGAGTTGGGATGTACAGGCGCTGATGCGCCATAGCCTGTTGAAGCGAGGTTGTATATGAACTGTGTTTCAACTTCCATATCTCTGAGTTTTGAGTGGGCGTTGTGCGCCAGTGTGACTCACCATCTGTTTGCATGAGTGCGAAGTGGAAAAGAAAGTGAGTCTGATTGCATTCGTATCAGAGCAGGTACCCGCTATCTCACGCGCGGGCGTCCTCCACGGTATGCTGAAGTTGGGTGCCATAGTCGGAGTGCGCCATAGCTGAAGTCGCCATCGCCGAAGAAGAGTCCGCCATAGCTGCGCTGGTGGAGGAAGGTGTCGCGTACCTGCAAAGAAGACAACGACGAAGAGAGAGAGAGAGAGAGAGAGAGAGAGAGAGAGAGAGAGA